CTAAACATATTTATTATATCGGTATAATATCGTATAATCTAGACAAAAATTATTTATTAATTAGTCTGTAAAATATCAGCTAATAATTAATCTAATCACCAAACTATTGTTAAAAAATCTTAACAAAATCTTCCATATATCTTTTAAATGATATACTAATTATCATAATGATATTTAAATAATTTTAGATAAAATTAACTGATATACAACATATTTTCCTAAAATCTTCAGACTATCAGCTTGTTTTTTTTACTATTAAATCTGTTATAAGCCATCATACTATCGGCCTGCTATCATCTAGGCCAATTATTTGAAGATATAAGAATGTTATTTTTGATTTCGACCAGTGTTTCTTACTCTTGTTTGGTGCTGTCATATGTGAAGCCTTGTTTGCTGAATTATTGTCTATGTGCATTGGTGATATTCTAGTAGTAAATGAAGCTTTTCCGAATGTTGATTCCTCATATATATTAGAATTATTAACTAAATAAGGTAATAATTATAATGAATAAGTTAACAAGATCCATATACAGATATTTTTTAATACAATCAGAATGTCTATATATTAAGCACCAATAAAATGATTAACTATATTTAAGTAATTATATATCATAAATATCAAATGCCTCTTTATAATCATCATCTTCCTCTAAATCATGTTCATCTTCTTCATAGATAGCAGTTGTGCAAACTAGTTGGTTAATTGTTTGATTTTGGTCATTCATGGATTTTCAGATACTTTTTTTTAAGGATGAAGCTGATATTCTGGAAGCTGAATCTTTGTATTATTTTATCAGTAAATATGAGTAAATTATTAAGCATATTGCAATAGCTTTTATTTGTAAAAATGAGGTTTAAACAAATAAATAGCATATTAGTAGCATTGTGTACTCAAGTTTTAACAGGATTTGTTTTTTTGAATAGTATTGGTGTGGGGTGAGCTTTATTTCTGGTAAAAATCTATAAATTTCTACTTTAATAAAAAAAATATATATATATATTTTTAAGTCTTTATTTCATCCACTTACGCATTTTTTTGGGAGCTATAGTTATTTAGTAAAAAATTTTTTATCAACTTAGTGCTTTTAATTTATATAATTGTTAACTATGTATTAACTCTTACATTTTACTTTGATTATATGTTGTTAATATAAGTTACATCTACTTTTCGATTACATCATTATATTTCACATCATTAATATTAGTTACATTCACTTTCGATTATATTATTACATTCACTTTAATTATATATTGTTGATATTAGTTACATCCACTTTTCAATTACATCATTACATTTCATTTCGTTAATATTAGTTACATCCACTTTTCGATTACATTATTATATTTCACTTTGATTATATGTTGTTAACATTAGTTATATCCACTTTCGATTACATCATTATATTTTATATCGTTAATATTAGTTACAGCTACTTTTCTATTACATTATTATATTTCACTTTGATTATATATCGTTAACATTAGTTACATCTACTTTTCGATTATATCATTATATTTCACATCATTAATATTAGTTACATCCACTTTTTGATTACATTATTATATTTCACTTTAATTATATGTCGTTAACATTACTTACATCCACTTTTCGATTACATCATTACATTTCACTTTGATTATACGCTATTAATATTAGTTATATTCACTTTTCAATTATACCATATAACCTGCTTGTATTATTAATAAATTATTAAAATTAACTTTAACCAATATCAAAATTTACACTATGAAGCGATCAAAAAAAACCACTAAACTTTATACTGATATACCAAAGTTACGTACTAGAAAGTGATATAAGGAGTCATCTGAAATCTTTCAAGAACTTATATGAAATGTAAATACAACGAATTCTGATGGTGCAGATGTTTTAGAAAGTACTTTCTTTTTTAAAGAACGCGATTTAATTTTAAATGATGAAGTTGATGATAATAAAATTGACAATAAAACTAATAATGAAACTGAAGAAGAATTGAGTAAAGAATTGGATGAAGAATTTGGTGAAGAATTAGGTGATAAATTGGGTGAATAATTGGATAAAGAATCAGGTGAAGAATTAGATTATGAAGCAGAAGCATTAGATAAGGTCTATTATTAATAACTTTTTTTTTTTTTTTTTTTTTTTTTTTTTTTTAAGGTGAGGTTTTGCCTTTATCTTTATTAATAATTTGTATTGAGAATCCACAAGAGGTTTCTCTGGCCAAAGCCATATTTTACAAATTTTTATACAAGAATGAGACTCAGACTATTTTATCTGTAATCTAAACCTACTAGAGTGGTTAAAACTCACCTAGATTTAATAATTTATTATGTTATTAGTTGGTATACTATATTTAATCTATTGAATTGTCTATAAAGATATTTTTCTAATAGCTTTTCCAAGAGGTAGACATGTACTATCAGTATGTTGTTGGTCTGGTAGACCACAGTGACAACTGTAAGTATGGGGTATTCTGTATTGATTATGTATATGATTACTTGTGAAATTAGTAATTTGTTGATTCAGAATTTGTGTTCATTAGATCGAGTAGGAATATTGTTTTGTTGTTTTTATTTAGATAATTTTATATAATAAGGTTTCCAGATCTGGTTGTGTATATTTTGTGTTAGTTGCAGTAATAGTTGAATAGTAATATTAGTAGCTGTTTGAATAGAATCTGTATATTCTCTGATTGTTTGTATTAATTGTCTGCTCAATTTCTATGCAAAGTGATACAAAAGTTATGTTTTTGATGCTTCAAAAGTATTGTTTCTGATGCATTTATAATAAGAATATCAAAAATGTAACTTTGAATTTTCTGTCTGTCTCCACTGCATATTTGTATAACACAACCAATCTCATATAAGCTTGGACTTATAACAGTTTCCGTTTCCTAGTATTATAGGAATGAATCCTTGTATAGTAGAATACAAGTTTGTGTTATTATTATTGCAATTATCAAGTGAAAAAACTTGATAATTGATGAGTTTAGTATGTAATTTCTGGAGTTCAGTTCTTGATATATCAAGCTTGTTTGGATAGAAAAACTGTTGTATTGTATCTCTGATTATTGAGTTTAGATTTGATTGGTTAGAGCATACGAGCCAGTGTAGTTGGCTTTCATGTGCGTTGTATATATTGCAGTTATTTGCTGGAAATAGTGATGGATACAGTATATGTTGGTGAGATAAAGTTGGGAGTATATTGAGCATAAGTTTAATTCTGAAAGTTTTTTCTTGGCAGAGTCTAAAACTAGTATAGGTGGATAATTTTTTAGAGTTGTTATTAAGATATAGTCAGGTTATATTCCAGTTGATTTGTGGTGACAGGGATATAACATTATCCATACAATGTTGTGATGACCACATGGCTATAATATGGGCATTGCATATATTTTTGATAGATCTGTGGGTTGGCTGTTCAAATGCATATGTCTCATGTTGTATGTAATATGAAGGGTTGTGAATGTTATTATGTTTAAATTGGTGTGTTGTAAGGTGATTGGCATTTTTTGCCAGATTATCAGCTGTATTGTTAAAAAAGTTATCACTGTGTGCAGTAACTTTTTGAAAAGTAATTATAAGTTTGTATGCTGTAATTATATTTAATAGAGTATGCCAAATTGGCCAATAGTTGTAGAAATATCATTTGTTAAGTGTAGGTGGTGACTGTATTAGTTTGTGAATTTGAAAATTATTGATTGTGAATCTGTATGGATTGTTATATGACTTTCTTGGAGACATGTGCTGACTGCAGATAGTATTGCTATGAGTTCAGCTTTATAAGATGAGAGCCATAAGTTGATCTCTGCTAAGTAAGTATTTAATATAGTGTTATTAAGAACTTGGACCCATTCAATTCCCATTGTACATTGTTCTGTTAATATATTTTTAAATGAACCATCAGTATAAAAAGCTAGCTCTGTATATTGACTATTATTATCTGCAATTCGTTGTAGAGTTCTGGATAATAGGTTATCTGTAAAGATTCAAATATTGTGCTGTTGTAGATAGTAATTGTTGGTGGTGTGGGTATAGTAATAGGATTACATAATGCGATAGAGTACAGTAAGTCTAATAGATTAGCATGGAGGTTAAGTTTGTTAGAAGGGTTGTATATTTTTCTTCCTATGAATTTAGTAGCAGAATTGGCTACAATACTAAATGTACATTTGCTTAGAATGCGAGTAGAGTTTAAAGTACATCCTATGCATGGTGTGCAACTATAGTTTGGTGAAGGGTAAAGATTTGTATATTGATGATTGAACTCTATGTTCCAGTGTGTAATAAATATAGTATTGTCCAGTTGGTTATATCTTCTTGCTTTTCTAAGAATTATATTCTGATCTGTATTGTAGGTAATAAGCCAGTGTTTAAGTTTAGTTTTGAAGTATCTAGTAGTAAATGATAGTGAGTTTATATTAGTTAGCTCTAGTAGTAGGTTTATTTGTCTTGTATCTAAATTTGAGATAATTTTGTTTTCTAGTGTTGTGAACCACAAGGGCTTACGGCCTTCCAATCTAGTAAAGTTGAGTTATTATATGATGTAAGTTGTTTTAAGTAAATAATTTGTTTGCAGCGTAGTTGTTTTTTGAATTGTAAGTATAGGTTATATGTATTTAATACTTTTTCAATTGGGGTGTATGAGTATTGAAGTGTGTAGGGACAGAGATAGTTTGAATGAGTATTAATGTGGAGTTGAAGGTAGTTAAACAGTTGTATAATTTTGTATATTGTTGTGTTTTTGTTAGGTCTATCAATTATTAGTAGAGGATGTTGTAGGATATTAGTTGTTGACCACAGATTGTTTTGTAATTGTTGAAGTCTGATATGTGTACTACTTCTCATAAGGTTTTGGTCATTAATTCTAAGTAAGAAGTTGGAGATATGATGTTGTAGTTGGATATCCTATATATTTTTAATACTATAGATATTATGGTTAAGCATAGTGCTATTGGGTGTAGTAATTGGTAGTTTTGCTTTGTGTTTGACAGTTGTCAAGTATTGTGCTAGAATTGAGTTATATATATTATGTGATAGTACTATATTATGTATACAGTATTCGAGAATTAGAATAATAACATTGTTTATGATATAAGTAGCCTGTTTGTTAGTAATGTTTTTGGTTTTAAGTATATCATTAAGTCCAAATGCTTCCTGTTTGATGAGTTTGATTTGTGTAGCATATTTTAAAGTTGCTATAAACCAGCATTCTAAAAATTTAAATGGGGTGTGTTGAGGTTGTGTTTGGATTGTATAATCCATGAAGTTGATTTGAGGTGTTGAACGGGTGTTAGATACTAAGATTGATTTGTGTGGATTTACTTTGATATGGGCCATTATATAAAATAAGGATGCAGTTTGGATGATTTGTTGGAGTTGACTTGCTGATTTTGCAACCCATAGTGTGTCATCCATATATGCTAGAACAGATGTTGAGGATGATTCAGATTGGTATTTGTTTAGGTTGAGCTGAGTAAGCCATTCGACTGTAGAGGAGTATCTTGAGTATTTTTTAAATATACGGTTAATAGAGGGTCATAGTATATTACTATAAGAGAGGTGTTATAGTCTCCCCTTGGTCTATACCATCTTGTATTGTATAAGGAGGAGTAAGGCCTAGGTTAATGATTATTTGGTTAGATCAGTTATGTAGTAGGTTTGTAATAATGTTTATAAACATAGTTGTGAGGATTAAGTATAGAATGGGTTGTGAGAACTCATATTAAATGGTTAGTGAGGATTTTAGTATATAGTTTTTTGGTGTGTTTAATAAGACTAATTGGACAAGTATTGTTAAGGTTACCATCAAATTGAGGTTTTTTGGATATGGGGTAGATTCTGCTGTTTTTCTACTATTTTGGAATATTTTGCATGAGGATGCATCTGTTGAGGAGTGTTGTAAAAGCTGATAACATGTTTGGTTCAGTATGTTTAATCATTTCATAACTGATATCAGAAGGACCACATGCTTTATTATTTGGAAGTTGTTGTATTGTTTGTAGTACTTCTTCAGTACTGATCTCTGTAAGTATAGGTGTATACCAGTTTGAATCAATATCAGAATTAGGTTGATATTCTGTTTGCCAATATTCATTAAATATAGCTTCATTATATAGGTGATGAGATGTCCAGTCATTGAAATGGTTGCTAATGTATTGTTTGATTTCTGTGAGATTAGTGATAATGTCAGTGTTAATTTTAATATTATATAGTTTTACTGTATCCTTATATCTGTTAAATATACTATTAATCATTTTAGTTAGTTGGTTAGTTAGTTGTTCACATCTATTGTTAATAGGGGTGTTGATATGTTTACAGAGTTTGTTGAGCATTTTTCAGATTCCTGGTGTTGTATAAGGTTTTCTAATAGGATTTGGTATTTCATGTCCATGTTGCTAATTCAGATTGATTACAGAGTGGTGAATTAATAGAGAAGCTATGTTTGGTATTAATATTATCTATTAAACTATATATATTATTTGGTAGTGAAATGTTGTTTGAGAAGTATTTTTTAATACGGTAGATAATATGTTCAATTGTTTTGAGATCTTTGTGTAGCTGAGTAGCTTTGGGAGTGAATGTATGATGCAGATTTTTTATAGTATACTTTCTGTTAGGAATGTGTTGAAGTGCAGCAGTAATGATGCATATATAGATTTTGTGCCAAGTTTTTTCTAAGCTTTCTGTTGTATTGGTTGTTGTTGGGATCTGGTGCTGGATTATGTTGGAGTTAATTTGGTCAGTAAAAGTTTCACAATTTTCTTTATTCATTGACTTATAGTTAAATACTCTTTTTTTGCACTTGCTTTTGTGTTGTGTTTTGGATAGGGCGAATGGAAAAATCTATTTAGAAAATAGAATTTGGTGATCACTGTCTGTGGAGGAGGATGAATTATCAATTTCAAACTTGTAGAGGTATGGTATAATAGTGTCACATGATCATATATAATCGATTCTGCTTTGGTAGCATGTGCTTTGCCAAGTATTTTGTATATTATTTGTGTGGTCTGCAAGGTCGTACATATTTATACTATGTAGCTAGTTGAGAAGTTGAAAATTGATAGCTGAAGATATTGTAAGATCATTATTTGCATTAAAATCTCCCAAGATTATAGG